ACACGCAGGACGAGGCGGGGCTGGAGGTGCACCAGTTCTGGCCGCTGGTGGAGATCCAGTGCTCCAGCGACCTGCGCTTCTTCCTGTGCAGCGTCTACACGCCCATCTGCCTGCCGGACTACAGCAAGCCGCTGCCGCCCTGCCGCTCCGTGTGCGAGCGCGCCAAGGCGGGCTGCTCGCCGCTCATGCGGCAGTACGGCTTCGCCTGGCCCGAGCGCATGAGCTGCGAGCGCCTGCCCGTGCTGGGCGACTCGGAGGCGCTGTGCATGGGCTACAACCGCAGCGAGGCCACCACGCTGCCGCCCTTCTTCGCGCAGCCCACGCCGCCCGAGCCCGCGCTGCCCGAGCCCTGCGCCCGCGCCTGCCGCTGCCGGGAGCCCTTCGTGCCCATCGCGCACCAATCGCACCCGCTCTACAACCGCGCCCGCGCCGGGCATCTGCCCAACTGCGCCGTGCCCTGCTTCCAGCCCTACTTTAGCGCCGACGAGCGCACCTTCGCCGCCTTCTGGATCGGGCTCTGGGCCATCCTCTGCTTCCTCTCCACCGCCGCCACCGTGGCCACCTTCCTCATCGACATGGAGCGCTTCCAGTACCCCGAGCGCCCCATCATCTTCCTGTCTGCCTGCTACCTGCTGGTGTCGGCCGGCTACCTGGTGCGCCTGGTGGCTGGGCATGCCCGCGTGGCCTGCAGCGCCGACTCGCGCCACGTGCACTACGAGACCACGGGCCCCGCGCTCTGCACGCTGGTCTTCCTGCTCGTCTACTTCTTCGGCATGGCCAGCTCCATCTGGTGGGTCATCCTCTCGCTCACCTGGTTCCTGGCAGCCGGCATGAAGTGGGGCAACGAGGCCATCGCCAGCTACTCGCCCTACTTCCACCTGGCTGCCTGGCTGCTGCCCAGCGCCAAGGCCATTGCCGTGCTGGCGCTGGGCTCGGTGGATGGCGACCCAGTGGCCGGCATCTGCTACGTGGGCAACCAGAGCGTGGACAACCTGCGCGGCTTCGTGCTGGCACCCCTCGTGCTTTACCTGCTCACCGGCAGGCTTTCCGCATCCGCAGCGTGATCAAGCAGGGTGGCACCAAGACAGACAAGCTGGAGAAGCTCATGATTCGCATTGGCGTCTTCAGCCTGCTCTACACCGTGCCCGCCGCTGCCGTCGTGGCCTGCCACGTCTATGAACAGCACTCACGGGAGCGCTGGGAACGCGCCCACGCCTGCGCCTGCCCTGGCGAGCCGCCACCTGCCAAGCCTGACTATGCTGTCTTCATGCTCAAGTACTTCATGGGCCTGGCTGTGGGCATCACATCCGGCGTCTGGATCTGGTCGGGGAAGACGCTGGAGTCCTGGCGTCGCTTCTCAGGGCAGTGTTGCCGCAGCACCAAGCCTGCTGGGGCCGCCCTGGACAGCACGGCACTGGCAGCCAGGGCGGGCGCTGCCGCTGCCTACCACAAACAGGTGCCCTTGTCGCATGTGTGAGCCACTGGCACCGGGGCACCCGCTGCTTAGCAAGGCCAGGAGGGCAGGGGTGGTGCAGGCAGCACGGTGGGGTCTGCCCAGGGCTGCACCCGCCTCCCTCCCTGGGGATGCCTGTGCGTATCCCCAACCCTGGCTGCCTCCTGCCAGTGGCAATCCCTCTGGGCTGCTCACTCCCCTCCCTACAGCGGGAGCGTCTCACACTTGAGCACCCACCTCAACTGCCCCTGCGGGCTGTGCTGGGGTGTCCCAGAGGTAGCCGGAGGAGCTTGGCCTGTGCACGTGGCTGAGGGACGGGAGGGATGCAAGGCTCTTTCTGTGTGGGCACTAGATGGAGGAGGAGCAGAGCTGGTAGGCGTTTACTTTAGCCAGGTTGGTTCTTGTTTTGCACCTCCCCCAGCCTCACTGCTGCCCCAGGGGTGGTAGCACCACTCTTCCCCCCCTGAGGGCACTTCCCCTCCCCGAGAGGCATTAGCTGTGCTAGCAGACACTCTTGGTCTGTAGCCGCCACTGCCCTGCCTTTGGACTGACGCAGCTAACTACCTCTCTCAGCCCACATGCTGTTAGCCAGCCCTGTCCCTCATCAGAGCTGTGCTCCTGCTGCCCACCCAGAGCTGCTTGCATTGTTGTTGGGTTTTTTGCCACCACTCCCAGGTCTCTCCCTTGGGCTGATCTGGGATCTCACAGCTTCCCAAAGGGCTGGTCATGCTAGCGGGGACCCACCCAGGAAGGGGCAGCCTGGCAGCTCCATCCCACACTCCCTGGAAGTGGAAAGAGGGCCAGGGAGGTGCTGTCCAAACAGGATTTGTCATTTTCTCTCCTGTCTGGGGAAGGGAGGAAAAGTCTGAACAAGAGGGGAAGGGAGGGGCAGAGCAGGGTGGGAGTGTAGAGGTTACATGCCCTCTTTGCTGTAGAAGATGGGTCTGCAGGGAACACACAGGGTGGCTCAGGAGGAAAGTTGCTGAGGGGATCTGTAAAGCCCAAGGAAAAGCAGCAGGACATAAATGCATGGGACCGCTTTCCTGGCCCTGGCCCTGGTTGCTTTCCTGCACCTGCAAAGGCTGTGCTGTGGGCTGCTGCAGCACTCCCGCTCCAGCACCCCAGGACAGCACTATCTCTTCCCCTCTTAAACCTCCCTGTTTTGCAGTGGCCAGCATCTCTCACTACCCAGGGTAAATGCTGAAGAGAGTTATCTGAGGCTACTACCTAGCTGGGAGCACTCAGTCCCTGGTGGCTGTTGTCAGCAGCCAGAGGCCATTTACAAGTTATTAGGCTCCAGGTTATATGCGCATCTTGCATAAGAGGGGGTATCACTTGCCTACATGGCACAGCATCAAGTGCTATGGTAATAACCAAGCAAATAGAGCAAGCAGCTTGTGGGTGGGTCATTTGCCAGAGAGATGCGTGCAATACTGGCTGCACTGCACTTAGGCGAGCCCTGCACGTGGGGACCTGTCAAAGTAGCGTTCTTTCTTAAACTACAACTCTGAGTAGAGGCCTTTTCACTTTTGTGCCCAACAAAAGGAGCTGTGGCAAGGTGGCAAAAGCTCAGAAAAAGCTAGGATCTCTCTCCATACTCAACCTGTGCATATCCCCTCAGAACTCAGTTTAGGTCTGTCTATACTACCTCAGGTGATCACCCCAACACGGGACATTAGAGAGCAACTGCTTGGGCAACCCCTCCCCCTCCCAAAGGGACTGCAGAACTTAAAAGCTGCCACCTCACTTTGAGGAAAAAAGCAGGGGAGGTGAACCATAGTGGCAGTACCCAAAGGATCGTCATGCCTTGCTTGTGGGTGTGTGCATGCACACAAATGAGAGAGTCTGAACAGGCAGCCAGGTAACTTAGCTCACCGCCATTGTCATCTGCTCCTCAATAACAGAGGCTCCCAGTAGCTTTGTGACAGACTTCATTTAGTCCAGCATGCTATAGTATTTCTCCCTGGATGAACTTCACCAGGCTCTGTTACAAACTGTATATACTTGTAGTATTGGATCCATTTTGTAAATAGGACAGATTTTGTGAACTTTGATACGGGTTTGGTACTGGTGTAGTCAATGAGGTGGCTTTGGCACAGATCCACTAAGCAGTAGTGTCATGTAGTCCAGGGCGTTAAATAACGTTACACTGACTGCATCCCCCTCTAGGAATACTCATCTCTCTTTAGTGCCTTTTGTAGATACAGCTCAGCACACCTCATGCAATAAATGAACAAAACCATGTCAAAAGTTCTCTCTTTCTCCCACTCTTTCCATGTGTGTGTATAACTGACCCTGCCTAACCTTTAAAAACCCATCATCAGCTACAAACTGCCAACTCTACTGAGCGGCTGGGGGGGGGAAGGGAAACAAGTATGATTTCAGCTCTGGTCCAACGACAGGTTGGTAATGCAGGCAGTCAAAAAAGCCCAAACACTGCATTTGGGGCTGGATTCTAGGTTCCTCGGAATTGTAGCCTGTCACACCGCAAACCACCGCAACAGAAAAGGAAGTAGAAAAGAGCAGCTATTTTGTGCCCTGTATAATAGCATAGGCAAGGTGTTGAGTCCTCAGCTACTTCTATTGCTGACACTGCTCAACTTTAAAAAAAACAAACAAACAACTATGTATTATATTTTGTGAACAGTTGAAGAAAATGAAATTTTATTCAAAGAAAAAGTATGAAGATTAGTTATTTATGAGAAAACAAAGAAATGTCTATTTTTGTTTGTCTCTTTGTTCCTAATCCTGGTAGAGCAAAATAAAAATAAGGGGGGAAAATGAGACCACTCTGGCTGAACGTGTGTTTTCTCTCTTTCCTACTGCCTTCCCTCCACTGCCGGGAGTAGCTGTAAGTCTATTAGAAAGGGCTGGTTAGCTGCATCTACATGTTCATTCATGCACTGTAATTACAGGACATAAGGTAGTACCTGTAATTACAGGTACTACCTTAATGCACCATAATTGGCACTACTGTGCATTAATGCCAGTGCACACTTTTTTTTGGTGATGCTAACGTGCAGTTGACTATTCTTCTACTGTGCATTAGCACCAGGTTTACCACTGTGCTAATGCAGTTGAATTAGCCTATTGGGCTTGAAGCATCTCATGTAGATGCACCCTCTGTGTAGAATATGGGCGCGTCATTTAGTCAAGTGGGTCCCTTTTTCCAAGCTCATGACACTGCATAGTCCCCAGAAGGAAACAAGAAGTGGTACAGATCCTTGTAGGAAAAGTGTAATAGAAACAGGCCATGGGGAAACTCAGGGCTAATCTGATTTTAAAAAATAAAGACAACATTTTAAAGTAATAGTAGGTAGAACAGAAGCTACTGTGAAGCAAATCCATGGCCCTGGGCTTGTATCTGTAACTGAACCCATAGAATGAAGGAGGCTGAGGTGCAAAATCAGTCCACCATCTGTACGTGGGCCCTAAAACAATTTGGAACAGGCTCGCCTTATCACCGGGCAAAGAGCTGCAGAACGGCCCTCTGATACTTACCAGCCTGACAGATCTCAGGCAACTGGGTTAGGGTACTCTGTAGTCTCAGGCCCATTCCTGATTTGCCCATTCCTGGCAGCTTGCAGATACAAAGCCTGAACATTTTCCAAAGCTTGAAGGAAGCTTCAAATATTCCAAAAGATTCAAAGTGTGAAACTACCCCAGCATGTAGGAAACACATTTTAAATAGGGAGGCAAGGGGCTAAAACATACTCACTTGTGATTATCTAGATCCATCAAGCTGGTGCCTACACGTTTAACAAGTTGGCAAGATTTATCTAGGACAGAAAGTAGAACCAACAGACACACTGACCCAACATGGTTCCGAGGCCCCAGCCCATGGTTATCCATCCCCCTTCAGCCTCAGTATGGCTCACTGGCAAGGAGTCCGATCCTATCATGTGCCAAGAGCCACAACTCCCACTGGGGATAGAGGGCAAGCAGCATCTCTCAGGACAGTGTCTTTACAATATAGGAAGTGACAGTGTGCCCTTGGTTCCTTTTAAATGCTTGCTGTCTGCATTAAAGGGAAGGATTAGAACAGTTACCCTGCTTGGGACTTGGAGGTCTCAAACTGCTCACACAGCATTAGAGCCTGTATTAAGAGACTGAAAAGTCTCCAGGTGCCAAGAACTGGACCCAGAGTTAGTCACCAGCATGGAAACTGCTTCTTGTAAGTAGTAAGGTGCTGATCATATGGGGTAGACAGTATTGGAAAGTTCTGTGCCACGATTAAGTGCTCCCTGTTTGCCACTGTGTTTGCCACCCATCACTGTATTTATTCAGGTTCATCTTGGCAAATTGCTTTCTTCCCTTCCCTTGCATTGTACCAGTCACAGACTTGAGAGCCGTCATGACCCATGCTGTATGTTATAGCAGCTGCTTTAGACAGCCCTGCTTGGCATGGCTTGGTTGTGTCCCCATTTACTAAAGAGTAAACGTATTGCACTTGAGCTCCCCCCTCAGTAGCATTTCTGTCCAGAACTGCCCACTTGGTTCTTAACATTCCTATTCTCACCCAGAAAAGATGCACTTTAAGGATGGAGTAAATGTCAAGATTATGTCCCTTTACCTGCAAAAGCCACTTTTAAAGTAGTTCTCATATGGAATTGCCTTAGAAACTAAACACAATTCTTTGTATACACAGGAAAAGGACTGTACTTGTAGCAAGTTTGTGCCCTCTGGATTCAACGAGCATCATATCAATGAATGGTTGGCATGGTACTGATCTCCACCCCACCCCACCTACTTGTGGACAGGTGTTGTGTTTACTCTAGATAGCCTGCAATGAGGCCAGCACATACCTGGGCAGCTTGCTGCCAGCTAATGAGTGCTGCTGCCATAGTTAGGACTAGAAGTTGATTCATAGCGCATCTCAATACAAATCAAAGTATACAACTGTTGATTTCAGCATTTAGTTAAACTTTACCCAGTGCACGTTACAGCCTGCAAAGGAGGTAAGGAAAGATAAACTTGTCTATTCAGGAACAGTAACATTTAGAAACAGAGGGTATTTCCAAACCATGGCTTTGAACAAAATTTCCTTTCAAGCTTGCGGTTTGGAAACCAAAGTGGTTGCTATTCACCGTCCAAGGAGCAATGAATGATGGAGGGGGACCCATTTTTGGGCACATCTAGAGGAAGCACATGGAAGACTTTCCCCTGAAGTACATACCAGGCAGGGCTCTCTACCTTTTCAATGGATGCAACATCATTTTTACCTTTTTGTTATTTGACATTAAAGATACAACAAAATTAATAAACCAGTTCTCAAGAGCAGATTTCTAGTTTTGCCTTTCTTGTTACTGGGTGGAAGGAGGCACCACTGAACAGGAACCAAATTTCCACTTAAGATGCGTCAGTGTCTTTAGTTTCTTCCTACTATTTAACTGCTGAATTGACCAAAATGCCTTAAGATGTTCTGGCTGCAGCCTTGTTACAGCATCATCCTATTTCTCCCATTAACCACAGAATAGTCTTATAAAAATTAGGCTGGGAAATCTATCCCAGGCCATTATACATCAGGAAGCAACATAAAGATCACACCTTATTTCCATTTCAACTGTTTTTGGTAACCTTTAAAATACCAAAATATCCAGCAATGGGTCAGGAGATCCAATCATCTGAAATATGGTTGTCTCTCCAGCTAAATGAAAGAGACTGGAACGCTCAGTTGAAACAGATGCAGAGAAACTGCTGAAAGAAAAAAGTTGTATAAACTTGTACCCTCTGATGACACTGAATTCACACACAAGATAATTTTTACAGAACCAAATTGCACCTGCACTGCTTGGTTACTAAGGTCCAAAGGAAACACGGCGGACTTTTTTTGGGTGAGGGAGGGGGAGGGAGCATCTACAGTATGGCAAATACCATTAGCCAACCTGAAAGAACAATGCTTTCAAGTTGGCTAAAGAGAGTAATGCACTGATAATTAAATAGTTTATGAAAGTAACAAACTCTTTTAGCATTTTAATTTAATCTTTTGTCTGTTTTGTCACAAAATGGGTCTCAGATGTGCTACAATGTTGCAGCACCGCACACTGCATGCTGCATTGCTTTAAGCAGCAATTCTTGGTACCTTACAATGCCCTAGATCAAAGTACTTCCTGATGTCAATCAGCTTTGGTAAGTCTGATACACTCCTAAGCTTCTTGTAGGCAACTACACTAGCTGAACACAGGCAACAGTTGGTAGCACATCCTCTAGGAAAGCAGGTTCAGATCACTTCATATCAGGCTCTCTTGTGATTTTACAAGTAGAAGCACAGTCCAGGCTGTCAAGAAGTCATGCATCTACAAGCAGAATTATGAAATACTTAACATGACTATTCCAGTTTCCATTATTTTATCCGGCAAAGAGGTGAATGACTGCCACAGGTGGTCCTTTTCTTATAAAAGACCAGAAGCTTCATGAAAGCTATATCTCAATTAGCAAAATAAGCAGCCCAGGAAAAGAACATTGATAGTCACCTCACATAAACCAGAAAGTTCAAAACCAGGCTTCAGGGTATTAGCCAACAGCCACAGACTTGTAAGAAATGGGTTACAGTTCACTCAGAGTCAGGGATTTAAAGATACAGAAATTAACTTTGTTCCAAAGTAGATTCATAAAGGGGACTAGCACAACACCGTGCATTAAAATCACCTCTAGAAAGAATTTGAACGAATTTAAGTGCAAGGGAACATTACTAGTCCTGATCAGTTGTTTGAACAGTTTTGTTCAGATTTTAAATCTAAATAAGATCTCGAATCACAGAAGTGTCCATTTAAAGTAATACTTTTCCTTCAGCTCACACCCCCTCACCTCCTCTAGTACACAAAGCTGTTCAAGGTCTCCAAATAATACTCTTTATTGGCTACTAAGACATATTTGAAGATAAACCTGGTAAAATGACAATGCTAGTCAGCTGCGACTGGGGATGGATTAGAACAAACCGCTAACATTTAGTAAGATTCCAAAGTACCCAATTCCTGTTCTCGAACTTGCTTAGAAAGCATTTTGAGAAGAAAGTCATGTAAAAGTACAGAACACACTAACTCCCTTTAACTTTAATTAAAATAGAGTTTATTAGCTTTTCTTTTAATACAAACATGAGAAAGAAAAACCACCTGAAGATGTAGCATTATTTTCAAAATTGAATTATGATCAATACCTGAAGCTCCAAGTTCCATAGATCGTGGACTAGGGACTGGTAGATTTGCAAACTTCAGAATACTATGTGTTGCATTTAAATAATCTGAGTGCTGCCAAACTGACTGTTACACTCAGGAGCCCCTTACTCTCAAAGGCATATGGGCTTGGTATTAAGCATAGCTTTCTGGACCCTGGCTGGAAGTGAGGTGGCACAAACGTGCCATACTGAGTGAGATTTGTTCCTAGGACAAAATGCCTAGAATCAATTTACATCCAGGAGGGGAAGGTATACTAGGATTTATAACAGGAAGAGCTTATTAATACTTATTCTGTTTAGAGTTCAGAATTTCAAAGCTTGAAAGTAAACTCCACCCCAAATTCTCAGTGAAAGTGTCAACTCAATTCTGAAGAGCAACAGAGTTGCACAAACTAAAGTTCACTTCTCAAAAAAAAATTTGATAAGATACGCATTTGGGTTTTGTGTAAGTAATGTGAAAAAAATCTTATTACTAAATTGAAAATAGCTGTCTACCTCTGTCAGTCAATTCAAGATCCTCAAAACTCACTATGGTCACATCATGAATGCAAACCCTTGCCTGGAAGCAGAAGTCAAGGGGAGCACAAGCAGATGCACAATGCATCTCACTTGTCAACCTTGTAAGAATCTGTAGTGAAATTCAGAGGTGCATGCAGTATACCATCTATTCATTACTGGCTTGCTAAACTGTTTGGGACAATGCCAGTTTCCAATTTAAAAAACAAAAACCCCCCCTCTCATTCGGATCTTCAAAAAAACCAAACCAAACTGCGTATCTTCCAGAGCAATAATAAAAGTATTAGAAAGTGAGAAGCACCATAGTTCACAAGAAATGCAGCATGGACCCTATGTATTTTAACAATCAACATGTAAAAAACATTTCTCTGCTCCCAAGCCAAACATTCACAATCCTTTGACAATCTCTCCTGGAGCGACACTGGTGGTGCAGTTAGACCTGCATCTTGCTCAGTGGCTTCTTGGCTTAGAACTGATCTCCAATAGCAAAAGCAGCTTTTTAGTAGCAAAACCAGGAGAAACCCTTGGACACTGATCTTTGCTACAGTTTCAGCTCCAGAGTGGCTGTATACTTTGTTAGAGTCCCAGGTATGTATTTTTTTTCTTTGTTAGCACCACATCAGCCTTGAAAGGCAAATGCAGCGGTGTTCTGGACAACAGGAGAAAAGGGAAGAACATTGTAACTATCGTCACGTGGTTAGTGTTTAAATTCTAAAATTTAAAACTACTCATTATTAAAAATTCATAGTTCACAGCTATAGGCCTACACAGTAAGCAAACATCTGTGGGGGAAGGGAAGCTGGTTTTTGCACCTCTGGATACATTAAAAGGAGGAGAGTGCTGATCTGCCAAGGTCCCATTTGCTGCATGGAATACACTCTTCAAGCCCTGGGGTCCCTTGGCTAGTTTTACCCCTCCTCCCATTGCTGGAAGACACCATCACTGCTGGCTTGTATGCATGGAGTGGTGGTATTCCTCATTTCATGTGGATGCTGGCTTCACGGTGCTGCACTCTTCTCTCTCTCTCCCCTCAGGAGAGGATGGCATTAGAACGGCGAATACCAACTAAATTATCAGCACTGAAAGATCGTCTCATAGCAGCTTTTGACAAGTCTTTGTATTTGTCCTCACACAGTCTGGAGATAGCCTGGAAAAGACATTCAAATACCAAATAAATGCACAAATAAGAAGCAGGTAGCGTAAGAATAATATTGTAGCCGTGACAGTCCAGAAATTATGAGGGGCCAGGATTTCTTAGGGTCATCTCTTTTATTGTACATAAAACTATGTACATAGTTGGTCCAATAAGAGAGAGAACCCTAAGAAATCCTTGCTTCTCAAATCAGCAGCGCTCAGATATTAGAAAGCTGATACAGTGACAAAGCTCTTGACCAAGCAGTTGCGATGCCTCAGGTGTGCCAACAGAAACTTTAAATTGAGATAAAATAATTAGGGGCCTTCTAGAGTAAGACAGCATCTCTTAGATCTCTCCCCCCCTTTACAAGCATCAGTTTGTCACAGTAGTTCGAGACTTTTAAGACGGTGCACCCTCTAAACAACTTCAATCTTATGCCTGCCTTTTCACAATCTAATGGAAACCTTGAATCCAACTCAAGTGTATTCAAAATTGCATCTAAACAGATGGGCCTGGTCTACACGTTTCTAATGCCAAAGTGCAAACAACAAGACTATGTGCACAAGGCCCAGGAAGAAAAGGCTAAGAGGTCATTGCTCTTTTAGTCCGGCACAACTGCCTGGGACCAGGAGATACAGAACAGAAATTGGAACTTTAATAGGATTTCTGGTTTTGTTACCAGGATGGTCAGTCAATTTTTGGCTGAAGTTATGAACAGACAGGAAGACAGCCCAGAGCCCAAGGGCATGGTATGTCCCCTGGTTCAATGCAAGTTTTTAATATTTCCACAGGTAGCACAAATTTAGTAATCCAACTGCTCGAAACAAATTGCAAAATTGATTAACTTTCTTTAGCTACTAAGGCACTGGTGCAATTTTCCAGCAGTTGGCTGCCACTAAATCTGTGGGGGAACTATGGGCTCTTCACAACGAGGCAGTCTCCCCATGTTTCTAAAACAGTTGGTATGACAGGCCCTCATTTGGGGCACTCATATGCAAATGAACAAGGACGTCACTATATTTTGTATGTTGAGGCAGATTTTTCCTTCTGTGCATTCTGTTAATAATTACCACCAGCACCAGATGAACTTGCAGAGCCCTGCATTCAGGAAAAACTTGTGCCTTCCCTTTAAGGCAGCACCCATTCTGAACAGCCCGGCATGCCAAGAGTTCAAAAGGTGAAAAGCACTTCTCAGCATGAACAAACTGCTAAGTGTATTTTAAAATAATTATTTACATTTATTTCTGTCAACCTTCTGGAGGCATTCATTTGGCTTGAGAGTGGCATTCTTTGAGACACTGGCTGCATAAGCCCCCACTGCAAGGCCAGACAGAACCTCCAGCCTGTTTTAAATGCTAGCACATCAATCATAAAGAAACCTGTGTTGACATATTAAGCCTCAGTCCCCCATATGGTATACGTCATTTTTCAGTTCACTAGGATACTAATTCACTTTATATGGGCTCCCAAACTGACTTCTGTATTTTTACCTCAAAAGGCAGGGGGGGGTGGGAAGGTTAACATGAAGTTTTTCAAACAATATTTACAGCTTCATGCCACAATTTAAAACTTAGACACACACACACACACACACACACACACACACACACACACAATTGTGAACATTGTGGCAAGCCACAGCATACTGAGAACCATTCAATGACATAATATTAATACAAGACACCCACCAGCTCATGGCAAAGAATACAGAACTGAGGCTCACATCTCCACACATTACACATTTTTACTTCAATACTGAACAACTCAAAAACAATTTCCTACGGAATATGAACTACACTGTAACCACATTATAAATCAGTGACACTTGGTAGACTTAATACTACTTACTTGTCAAAGCTGAGATAGAAAGAGAACAGAAAAGCAACAGCTTTAGGTAAGGAAATGTTTAGGCACATATTGCCTATCATTTTAAAGCCTCAGTGAGCTGCCCTAAGCTTCTGGAAGAAGAAAAGAAGCCAACATGCTGCATGGGTCTTGTGGGTAAATGAAAAAAATTATGTAGCAAACCCCTCTTTTGATGGAAGAGGCTACAGTACTTGTTAAAGTCTACACAGGGTGGACAAGACGCAAGGTCTCTGTTAAGAGACTCATATAACAGACTGTGTTTAAAGTTAGCTCAGAAAGGTTGGTGTTGCCTCTACCAAAAATTTCACCTGGAGTTTCCAGGTCTGCAAGATAATTCAAATAATTCCTCACACAGTCTTGTGCAGTAAAAAGCAAGGCCTGTTTTAACTAAATGTACTTAAATACTAAAGAACAGTACCAGGGCCCCTGTGCAGTCAGCTTGGGACATGTGGGTGGGCGTATTTTTTTTTTTAACTAGCAAAGTTCTGCTATGTTAGTACCAGTACATGACATTCATTCACTCTCGTGTCTCTATTTAGGATTTTTCAAAAATGTGCTCTTTATTTAATTTGGACTGATGTTTCTTTAGAAAGGTGATTTTTTTTTTTTATTTATTTATTTATTTATTTATTTTTACACTTGAAGTGATCTGCTACCTCCAAATGTTAAATTTAGTAAACCTTGATTAGGGGCATTAAAACCAGTCCTTTAAGCCAGCAGCAGCTGTGCAGGAGGCACTGTGGAAACCTGCAGCTGATCTAATTGAAAATGGTTTGATCATAAGTGTTTGTGGTGTCTTGGAAAGAAGAAGTGACGAGAGGAAGAGACCGAGAATCTAGTACCGAAGAAGCCAAACCTGAAGTATTAAGCAGCCTACCTGACCTAAGCTCCCATAAATTAATACTCAGTTTTGAAATAAGAACTCTTCCAGACTTCTGTAGCTTCTCTTCCTCCTCCTCCTGCTGCTCAGAATATCTGCTTAGGCAACAAAGGTTTAAAAGTCCTCACTCTTGTTAAGGGAATAAGCTCTAATGCACCAATCTAAATGTTTTTTAGTTTTGCTAATCACTATTTAATATGATTAGCAACAGATGTAGTTACTAAGCAGGTACGGGGCACCCAGCTCTCAATCTCAGACCATTACCTCCAGTTTCTGTGCTCGCTCTTTACTAAGAGGCTCCAATAGAAAGCTCAGGTTGTTGTCATCTGCTAAGGAGCGAAGGTCAAAGTAGTATTTGGCGTAAACACTGGCAGGAACATTGATATTAAACTGCAACAACTCCAAGAAGTGCCTTTCCATCTCATTCCTAAAGAGGAAGGAAGAAACCAGAAAAAAAAAGAAAAGATTCAGCATTTTCAAACGAGTCAAACTGAGCAGAGCTCAAGCTCACTTTTAAAACCAGCAAACTTTGTAAAGTCACACACATTATATATGCTCTCTTTCAGAAAGAGGTAGATTAATTCACTAGTGTTCAAAACAAGGTTCAGCTTTCGAGTCGCAGCACCTTCAGCTTGGGGGAGAAAGGTTATTGCACTGTTGTGCACTCGCTCCGTCAACTCAGGAGGTTCATTCTTCAGAGTTCCATTAGTGCAGCTGTACAATTCATACTCCATTCTCACTCTCTCATAAGGCCCCACACTACAGCCATCAGATGAAAGGAGTGATGTACGCTGTTTATTAGCTCTGAAGAACTTGCAGACATTTTTGCCAGGCTGATAACAGGAAGGGGGTTTATTGAAGTAGAGGCGGACCAACAAAAGGAGTAGGCATATCACCATGGCAACAAATGGATCTACGAAGAGCTGCTGCTATTATTTCCGAGAAAAAAGCCTCTTGAAGCAACATGGATTCATCTCCAATAAATAAATAAATAAGCAACATTAGGTGGGAGAAGGAATTTTCTCCTCAATAGCATTAGGCAGAATAACGAAGTCCTATGTCAAAGGGCACTGTCTCTAGTTTTGACTCGCATCGCTATTTGTGGTGGGCAAAATATCTGGAGAAAAGTGGGAAGTAGCCTGTTACATGAAAAGGCCAGGTCTGGGCTATTGTAGTGTGGTCAAGTACACCAGAAATATTTTACAGAAAAATAAACAATTTTACAAATGAACCTTAAGTAGAAACTGGTACCTGGGATACATGATTCAGTATAACACCACCTCTGAACAGCACTATAGTTCCCACAGATAATGGAGCTTTAATTACACAAAACTCAGCAGCTGTATAAATCAACCGTTTTCAAACTGGAGTAATGATTTTTCAATGCCAAGTTGTTCTTGCTCTTTGGAAGCTTTTAAGATGGATGTTTTACCCACCAGAAAGGAAAAAAATGCATTGAGGAATCATTCAGGTTGTGTCTTGTGCTGGATGGCTAATCTCATAATGTGAATAGCAGCTTTGTATCGTTTCTAACAGGGTGGACTCAAGGCCCATTGAACCTACTGCCAAAATTAATTTCCTGTTCATATGGTCATAAGCCTATAGAAATGTAAATCAGATGATGTTTTGATGATCAGCTGATCAGGCCTTGATTTACCCCATGAATAAATGCTCTTCACCACCCCTTTTGTACTTGACACACTAATACATTTTAATTCTGCAAAAACACAATACTTCATAGGATTAACAAGTCTATTAATAGGGTTTAAAAATCCAGCAAAAGCATAATGCCCATGTGTTTTGTGCTTTATTTACAAACATATGTAGCCAAAAGAATGAACAGCATGTGTCCTCTTTCATGCAATCACTGGATTAGCAGCTGCACAGTTAATTTTTTAGTAATTATGGATGCACTCCATCAAAGCAGGCAAGTTTCTGACAAATAAGGACTTCCAAATATCAATTTAATTTCCTTTGGTTTTTCAATTAGAAAGCCATTTTCTTAACTGCCTTAGGTGCAAACTTTATTTTGGTGAGGGGTGAACAGAGGCATAAGACAACAAGCAGAAGGTTGATGTTTTGATCAAATTGCCTCCTATCAACCTTTCCCATCAAAATTTTGCTTACAGACCCTTAATAAAGATCATTGTAACTTTCCCCCCAAAATTAATTTTCCTACCAGATTCAGCAGCTGGGACCCCAAAGACTAAAATCCAGTAAAATTAAAGCACATCAGCAGAGTTAAGAGAAGGGGAAAAAAAAATGTCAGCAATTTCCCTTCTGTTGTGGCTCTTTTTTATTTAAGTTTGCACAAAGCTGAAAGCAAAGTGAAGTACCCCTCATCAGTTCTGCAGTTAGCATTCCCAGGTAAGTAGGGACCAAAGGATCCATCACTATCTTGGGTATCCCAATAGTCCTGAGTTCAGACAGCAGAGGAAGCCCAGGCAACACAAACAGCTACTTCTTACATCTGCACAAAGCCTTACCTCTGTCTAAACACAAAATCTGTGTGTAAGAGTGGGAAAGGGTCCATGGGGTATGTGGCCCCAGGGGCAGTGGCTCACCCTGGTGTGGCCCCTGCTGACACGGCCCCCGCCTGCATGACAGTTGGACAGCCCTCATCAATAGCCAACTTAACACTTTCTACAAAGCTGTTTCCAACAGAAGAATGTGACCAATTTTTAAAAGTCTTTTTTCCAAGCACTTCCCTCAGCAGGATTACCATGCTGATTCCTCCCATCAGGAAAGTAGTTTAAAAATACAGCAGCTAAGCTGGTAATTAAAAGGATGCTGTCAAACCAAACCGGACCTAAATTAAGTTTTGTTGGCTTTGGAAGTGGTTTCCTAAAGGTGCAGATCATTTTATGCAGTGCAATGACTTGGATTTATGCTTCTGCATGAACTCCAAAGCTCAGAGATTTCTAGGTCCAGGAAAAGCCAGCTCTTGCAGTGAACAAAACAAAACAAAACAAAAAGGAACAAAAAAATAAAACCTTCTTCTAGAACTTCAACACACACAGCTACCAACACCTTTTCATCAAAAGGTGTAAACACTTCTGCATGCACAAGGTATTTCTCTAGGACACGGCATTGGTAAATTCACAGAACTTTCAACTACACACAGGAGAACACTGAAAAAAAAATACTGCTCCTGTTTCTATAAAGCTGACTTTGGCAGGGTGATATAGACACCCGACTGGCTGCAGATATTTTCAGCACTAGTTCAATTTGATTTGTTCCAAAGAAAGCTAGAGGAGAAGCCAAAAACGGCACTCACAACCAGCATCAAGGGAGTGCTTTTGGGTGCCGAATATGACATGCATTTTATTTAGAAAAAGGTTTCTCTCAACCATTTTCAATACTCTCTCTTTCATAAGGCACAACTAAATTAAGAGGAGGAAAACTGAGCCTCTGGTATTCTTGAAAAAAAAAATCCTGTGTGAAATCCTGCAGAAAAGATAGGTGCAACTAAGTCCTAGCTTGATCCTGAACAGAAGGAATAACATTTAGTGAAGATATGGAAAATACAGATCTACCAATCAACTGTTAACATCTGGAAGAGTTTAAACCATTGTTTGGATGAAGCACCAAATCCAGTATGATGTTTATTAGATCCATAAAACATCTGTGCACATACCACCTCCTTAGTACTTATGGTACATCCATAAACTAACTAATGGAGAGGCACGGGAAACTCAAGATTAGCTAACAGCATGTAATGAAAATTTCTGATAGCTGTATGTTTCTTAATGCTAGTCTCCAAATTGCTACCCTTAAAAAAGGCAAGTGGGGAAGACAGTGAGAGATCTTTCCAGACCAAGGACTCATGCATTACACAAACTGTTCACTACCTTGACATTTAAGTTTAGGATGTACCTCAGTCTTTGAGATAAATAAGTATATGAATTAAACACGTGAGAGATCTTTCCAGACCAAGGACTCATGCATTACACAAACTGTTCACTACCTTGACATTTAAGTTTAGGATGTACCTCAGTCTTTGAGATAAATAAGTATATGAATTAAACAAAAAAAAAAAAAAAAAAAAAAAAAAGACGGGCAAGATCAGGCTGGCCAAACAACTCAGCATAAGAACTAGGACTTAATGGAGAAGGTGACGAGACAAGGCTGGGATGATGTTTGGGCAGAAGGTACATCTTCCCTACCACCTTTAGGTAGGATGCATGCATATCAACTGACCAAGCCCCACAATCTGGAGTCTGATTTGTGTTACGGATGGTCCCTAAACTAAAGGGCCTAATTTTTAAACCTATGAAGATTGAAGCCAGAAAATGTACTATGGAAGACATATGAACGTGAAAAGAGGCGCATGAAATGCTAAATATTCTAGGACAGAGATTAGTTGCCTTTGTCTCACTCAGCAGAGATACTTTGTCAGAAAAGCCCTCCTCCAGACTCAATGTCCAAAATTCTCTAAAATCTTTGAAGCTGCTACCTTCTTCCCAAACAAGTATTGCAGGCTTCTGAGAGCTGAAGCAGCAAGATTACCAGAGCAGTAATCTGTACATTTATTCTTAAAATTACAGTATAAAGTGAGCAAAAGAATCTTAGGCAATAATGCCACCAACTGGGGATGGGCGGTGAGGAGGGAAGACACCAAACCTCTATTTCAGAGCATGTAATGCTTCCACAGCAGTAGAAACTAGATCAAGACATTGCTCCAGTCAAGTACTTCAAACCAAAACAGCACAGGTTATTCAAATGAAAATGCCACAGGACTGATCTATGCTTCCTGATGACAGAGACTGAATGAACTGAAGGTTTTGACTTGTTACTTGTTGGAGTGGAGGGCAACATGGGCAAATACTGACATGGACTGTCAAGACAGTCCAGGAAAACAATCTCAAATGACAGTAGAGTAGCAAGATGATTTGGGGTGTTCCAGGGACAGCGATGTTGGTGCTCTTGCTAGGTCCCACTGGCATCCTGTCAGTTTCTGCTCCTACTGATGGGCAAGCATCCAAAATGTTGAGTGACCAACCGACTATCTGACCATTTACCCTGGACCCTTCAAGGCAAAGCTTTTGAAAAAAAATCTTCCAAGTCACCTTTACTCATGACTCAAAAGAAATGTGTGAAATCAGAACAGCTTCAGATCCTCAGACCAGGACCCAGCTGTCTGAGGTAACTTCCTTGAGCAAGCTGTCACAGCACTAGTTATGACCTGTCTTTAGAAGCAGAACAATAACGTTTACCTGCAAGGACATAATGCAGCTGCTCAGAACAATATAACCCCTCCAAACTTATCACTATGTCATTTATTTCCCCTTCCACTTGACCCACTGTGTAAGCACAAAGAACTAGAAGAGGTGATGTTTTATGACACAGCATGAACTGGGACAGTCAAAGATAAAATGCACTGAGATAGTAACCAATGTAATGGATCCAAAGTTTCCTAAAACTTACAGCTGAAGTACATGAGGCAAAATATGTAATGAACAGGCAGAATGAACACTCAAACTAAGCAGCTGGTTATACTGATCCAGGAAGTGCTTTCAAAAACTCATCTGAGAAGGAAAGGCAGTAGGCAACACTTGGGAAGTGTCTACATTAGCAGCAGATGTCTGTTGCACAAAATAGCTCTGTACTTTGAGCTTGGGATGTTCCCGAGCATACTGGGAATACAGACCCAAGACAGAAATCACAATTAATGTTAGGAGCTTGTAAAAACCCAAGCTAAAGAGGCATTCCCAAGTATTTCATTTAAATTTCATCTTAATAGACACAAAGGAATTCTTGAAAAAAATCACTTTCAGATTTTGATTGGTACAGTACAGCAATGACATTCATGAGGTAATAAAAAAAATTAAAATAGCAAATTGATAGTGTGAAAGAAAAGCTGAGAGCAGGCAACACAAATTAGTATAGGTTATTACTAACTTTAATATGCAAGTCACTAGAAACAAGTACAGGTTTCCCTTGCTTTACGCTGTACATGCATTCCTGGAAAACAGCACTTAACTCAAATTCACATAAAGGGAAGCCATTTTACAATGCAACAAATAGGGATATGTTCCAAAACCATGACTGTACTGACCCCCAGACCCATCTCTACCACTTTTACAAGACAATTTTGGTACTCACCGACAGCAGACAGTACACACAAGCACAGGGTGGTGGTGAATGTTTAGTTGGTGTGAAGAGAGGGTGGTGAAGGCTTCATTGATGGACCAGGGAGAGGGGTAAGAGATAAGCTAGGGGGATGCTGAAACCATAGTGGGGATGGCAACTACAGAAGCACGTGTTGCAGACAACGAATGAGGAGCACACATCCACACAGGAGACTATTTTGGTGTGTGTCACTCCCACAATACACTGCACAAAGCTGCTGACTGCGGGCTTCCACCACACTGATCGCATAAGAGTGAATTTACCTTGCATATAATTAATTTTTTATATAAAAAGAGTCATCGCATAAGAGTGAATTTGCACATACAGAGCCTGCAAAAAGTGAGGGAAATCTGTATATGACTTATTTCCATAAGAGAGTTTCTGCTAGCTGCCCTGTTAGGTAATTCTCTTGCTTTAAAAAGCAATGGAAGCCCAACAAGAAACTACTTCAGTTCTGTGTACTGAGCATCAGTCTTAGAATGGACCACTTGACTAGATCTCCAAAAACGATGTTTGAAAAGAGCAGCAAATTGATGACATCTTGCAACTTACATGTCCTCAACCGTAATGTCCTTTAATATTTGGCAGTAATCCACATTCCATACAGCCTGATCATCCCAAACTTTAGAAGCCAGCAGAATAGCTCCTAGAACTATTCTTTTCCAGTTACTAGGACAGATGTCAATCTCCGCATAGGTTAAGAGTCTTTCCAAGTAAACCTACAAAAAGAGAACTGATCTTAGACATCTTTGATCTCAGTCAGTGGCTGTTAAGAACTCAAACCGATGTTCTCTTCTGATTTAGCTAATATTCATTCATTTATCAGAGTAAGCCATCAGCGACTATTACTTAGCTTTAAAATTTAGAATTTTTTAAAAGTTACATAAATCCATGTCAATGGAAGTCATAAAGAGAGCTGTCTTAAAACAAACTATAAAGTTCTTGAATTTCTAGTAACTTCTGCTGTACCAGTGAAAAACTGAACTCGAGTCAATTATTGGAAATATCAGATTTTCACAACTGAACATCCGTGACTACTAACCACTCATTCCTAAAACTCTCTCTCATCATGGATCAGCTGCAGCATTTGAAGCAAGACAGGATGAACTAGTCTGAACCATGGTCTGTTCTTAGGCAGATGTGTTGCACGGTTTTAAATCACGCAAGTCCTTAGATGGTTTGTATGAAACAGACTAAGCCACCACCACCCAATCCTTTGGCAGTTGAGCTACCTCATGTTTCAGCTTGCTGCACTCAAAGACAGGTGGTGAAAAATCCTCAGATAAAAACCTACAGTTTCAAGGTATTTTGTTTCCCCTCATATGGTTTGCAGACCTGACCAGCCCATGAAGCTTGAATCTCTATTGCTTCTTGCCAGTATTTTTCCATCTTTATACACACAGGTTTATTACAGTTACATGTGCTAAGCAGCTGACACACATATATATATATTTTTCAATTGAAAAATAAATATGTAGCGTTATAAAAGTGTTTTATAAAAAATAAAAACACCACTTTTTACACAAAAAAGCAGATTATTTAAAATGCTCCATTCACAACTAGGTACAGGAATTTGGAGGCAACTCTAGCTGACTAACCTCAGTACTACCCTTTGCATTCACCGGACTTTTTGAATGATAAAGATAACTAGGTACCATGCTTACTAATTTTTGTTTTTATTATAGTCTTAGACTGGTCTCTCTAGGAGTTTTTCTATAGGTAACAGAGCCATCTAGTGGCTGAAATCCACTTTAAAGAAAAAAAGAAACCCACAAGGCAAGCATTTCCTTAATCTGTTATTTTTCTAACAACTTTGTGACCTTGGGCAAGCTGTTCAGAACAAGAATCTTGTTTTGTAAAACTGCTTGTATGCTTTACCCAAGCAAAGCAAAACAAGAATCTATTCACATGTATGAATCTATGAAGAACGTAGTTATTCAGCCTTCTCAATCACTGTTTTTAAAAGTCAAATTATGAAATAAAGAGGTTCTCTCTTTTCCCATACTTTTTTCTGGTTATATTTTTTTCCTTCTCTACTCATCTTTTGAACTATATTTATCTTCCAGGAGTAAGAGAAATCAAAATTAATCTAGCTGACGACTGAACCCCAAATTCTCAAAGCAGAATTTTTTTTTAAGCTAAGTGTTTTTTTTGGATATTCCGTATCTCTTCAGTTCCTCCATCTAATCTACTTTTTAAAGTTTTCATTGCATCTTGCTGAACATGTATGCCTTTGTTGTTAATTTAGTTCTAAACAGTCACATACCTTGAAAAACAGATTCTACCTAAGACTAAATTTTACAAGGATGTTAAAATAGCAGGAGCTGGTCTAAGAGTGCAAGAGCAAGAAGTTTCTCAGTAGAGTACTGTTGCTTTACCCTTTGGCAGCTCTGTGTTTTATTTAGACTCTAACTAAAAGGTCCCATCTACATGTTATACATAAGGCATGGGTAACCAGTTAATTATGCCTTAAGTGGTCACCAGGCAAGATGTCCAATCAATTAATAGTGTGATAGAGAGAGAAATAAGTAAAAAAGTTATTCCACAAAACGTATAATAACTTTGTAGCTGCTTCCTATCAAGCCATTAACTGAACATGCTTACTAGGGCCCCTGTGGCTGGGAGCCCCTGATCAGAGCTTTAAACTGGGGGGAGCCCCCCCATGGGCACCCATGAACCTGGGAGCTCCCAGCTGATGCTGGCTTCCAGCCCCCACGGCTAGGAGCCCCAACAGATGACAGGGATCCCACCCCAGCAGTACCCCATGCAACACCATGGCTGAGGCACCATGTCAGCTGTGGTCTCATTGCTATGGGGACCCCTGTGGCTGGAAGGGCTCCTAGTCATAGGAGTACATGGTGAATCCTCACACCTGGGAGCCCTGTTAGCTGAGGGGGCTTCCAGCCATGGGAGCCTGCTTCTTGCCAGTGCAGGGGAAACTGGGGTCAGGCTCCCCCTGCACCAGCAATAAGGAGTAATAGAATCTGATGCGCCATTCCACAATCACACCACATGTGTGGGGCATGGCAGGAGGCATGATTGTGAGGATTGTGCATTAGATCTCATTGTGCCTTTACCTGCACATGTAAAGGGACCCAAAGCAGCTGATACGTTAGAAGCAGCCTACCTCCTCAATGGAGTAAATAGAAAAGATGTTTTTAGTTTCACCCCAGGATTACCCCACTGTTTGGCCTGGCTATCCATTACTATCCTTTCTACTAACCTGCAAATTTTTGCGAGAGGCTTGCACAACCATTTTATTCTCCTCAAACAGCCCCATTGTACCACTAACATTGTATGCAGCAGCACTATAAAATAACATGGCTAGTTTTAGTGTTGCTTACAGGTTCAGATATACTAGTTCAGTGGTGCTCAACCAGATGGGCTGCACCCAGACCATCCACATTTCTGGCTGGTGGTTCCAATCTGGCACCGGGCAGTCTTGGGAGAGCCCCACATGACTGCATGGAGGAAGGCAGGGGGCATCCTGGCTTCACAGCTGAGGGAAAGGGGGGGCGGGGCAGAGGCAGGGACATGGAGGTGGGATGAAAGGTTGACCTGACCCCAAAGTGCTGCACGGGGCTTGGGAATTTGGCAGCATAGGAGGGTGGCCATATTTATAGCCACTGCTCCCCTGGTACCAAAATTTCCTAATTTGTGGGGAGCCCTGTGGGCCAGATACCTAGGGCTGCATCTGTCCCACAGACCAGAGGCTAATCACCCCTGTACTAGGTCTCCTGCAAAAGCCATCGGTAACTAGGGCTGCTGCTGCTTCAAATTTGCCCAATAGCGCATGTCAGCTACTTTAAACTTTAATTTATAAGTAACCTTAGCTTTTACATTTTGTACACCTAATAACTTGTATAAACGCATTGAACATTTTTGCCTGTCTCCAGGAAAACTTTCCTTTTCACCACTGGTGTATTTAAACCCTTTCTGAATATCCCACAGAAAGAAGTCTCCAGTAAAGTTGCAAATAACAAATTTGAAAATCTATACATGAATTCTAAATTAACATACATAAAACCCATTCAATTTTTTTACTACAGCCACTCACTGGCTAACAACAAACCAGATATCACACTGCTTGTAGAACCCGTATGTATAGGAGCTGAAATGATTGAAGTCCCATCTCAACTATGCTTGGGGATGCATGAAAATAACCCACAACAATTACAATAAGGTCACAACTCAGTTAATACTTATCAGTTATAGGATGGGGACTGCTTCCAATAACAAATACGCTAAGCTACATTCAAACCAGTAACCACATATCTCATTAGCAGTTCCCTGTAACTGCATTCCTCTTCACTGCAAAATATGTAGTTGTTGCTGGTCTAAAACAAACAAGTTTCATGGGACAAGTGATTGAGCCTTGAATATTCAAGTATAGGAAAAGAACTGCATAAGTGCCTCTGGAAAGTTGTTAAAAATATTTTCTAATTTATAGTTGAACTGTAATACAGTTAATCTTTATTACCAATACAGGCTTTCAAAGACTCCTTTTTCATCTAGTTATATTTTAGATCTGATGTAGTTTAATTTCATAAATGAAAAATAGACCTTTAAAGCTTATATTCAGAAACATATTTCTAATGACCAAGCATGTCTTACTAGTGTCACTATTGCACATTCAGCTGTCAGCTGTGCTGCACTAAAAAGTGTCCGTACAAAGCGGTAGATGTGCTTGTGATCAGGGTCATGCTTGTAGTAGTCATCTGGAACTTCTTCTCGCTGAAACAGAAAGAATGTGCAGTTACTGCAAGTCTTACTTACTAAAAACTTCCACTTCCAAAAAAAAAAAAAAAAGGAATACAATCCTATAGAGAAAGAAGTACTGGACATGGAATAATGAGCGTCCCCAATAAAAAGCAATAGTTTTATTTTTTGTAATTTGTTTTAATTCATGCTTTGCTTTTGGAAGAATGAGTTTAAATTAAAATCAGACAGCTCCCTATTATCCTGAAGATGCATTAAAGTTATAAAAATTACCCCAAGAATATAAAGTGCATAGTTTTTGACATGCAAGAAGTTTGCAAGAAAGAGTCAGTTCTCTTGTTGGCATACCAAGATTTACATAACGTCCTTGCATATAACATCTTCTATAGATATATCACTACTACTGAAGATATCATGATAGATTTTCACTCACCTGAATTAAATTCCCTAACACAATGGAAGTTAAACTCATTTTTTGATCTCCAAGGCCAACTGACAGACCCATGATCCATCTCTACATGCCACCATGGAAATTAACTGTCATCTATAGAATTTCTCATGTTATTTCCAGATTTATCAGGATACACTGTTTCACTTTGGAGAAGTTGTTTCACACGCACATGCACACACCCAACACTGGCTTTTCAAAAGAGAAAACTCAGAAAAATACCTCAAAAGGTTCTTCCCAGCTGAGGGGACAGTGATGGAAGAGATACTATTTTAAGTAAACTGATGTCAAAGCATAATTATTCTTATCTTTAATGATACTGTAGGAGCCTCACTATTAATGAAAAGAAAGCTTAAGGAAACCGGCCCCCCAAAAAAGAATCCATGGGCGCATCCCCACATGCAGGTGTGTGCATTTGCTACGGCACAAATAGCAGCAGCACACATTTGTGCCACTGCTTTGTGCCCCAGGGCATGCTCCGTCATATGCCAAATTGTCCCAGGTGGAGTAGGCGAGGCCAGCAGCCAATTCGGCCACATGGAGCATGGTCAGCAGCCAGTGTGACTCTGGACAGCCAGGCTGTTTCTGGTGGCACACACTGCTGCTATGTGCACCATACTTTTTTGTGGCAGGTTTTTTTGACACTGGGATCTCCCAGTGTCACATTCTGGCACCACACTACAGCAGTGAATGGTTGCACATGTGCCATGTGTGGTTTGCAGTGCCTCTAACAGCTTTGAGCTACTGCAAACCACACACGTGCTCATCTGGACACACCCCAGGGGCGCATCCAGATGAGTGCGGACATTTGTTTCCCCAGGGACAAGTAGCAGCAGCACCTTGTGCTGCTGCTACTTGTCCCTGGGGAATGCCTATGCCACGTGTGCTCTGGCACATGGCAGGTTACCCTGGGTGAGGTACAGGAGGCTGGGACCAGCAACTCTGCTGGCCCCAGTAGCCTCACTTGGGGTCCTGGGGACCTCCCGGGGCTGCAGCCATGGCAGGAAGCCCAGCTGGCAGCTGAAGTGTGGCTCCAGACGGCCTGGCTCTAGTTCTGAGTGGTGCACAATGCCACCACATGTGCCACCATGCTTTTTTCAGCATGCGGTTTTTGACCCCGGGATCAAAAAAAACTCCATGGAGAATGCCTGCATCAGTGGTATGGGGAGCAGACAGGGCTGTGGCACCACATACTGCACATCTGCACGTGTCTGAATGTGGCCCCTAATCAAGGAGGAGCAAACTGTTTTAACGGCTTAGGTCAAGAGTTGCCAAACTACTACTGTAAGACCAATGACTACAGCGAGGTCTAAGTTAAAAGTGACAAAGCCAAAAATGAAGTGATTTTAAGTAAGGGAGATGCAAGATATCAGAGTAACCTCTCATATCCTGTAAGCCTTTTTGAAAATTTGACCAACTCCCCTAAAGGAATCTTGGTATCCCAAACTTGAGGAGGGTTGAGAGTTTGGGCTCTCATACTGAGAGCGGTTTTGCAGGATAAAAATTAAAGGGATCTCTCTCTAATCCAAATTGAAGCTAAACTGCAGTAATCAAAGGATAATACTCTCATGCCTCCTCTGCATGCTCAACAGCAATAACCATAAGGTA